GCCACCTCCATCTGTCTGTCTGCATGTCCAGAGGCTGCCTGTCTGACCTGTGGCTGGCCTCCCCGGACACAGCCTGGTGCTGCCACCCGTGGAGTCTGTGAAGGACAGTGTGACCCACCACCACGCACCCCACACACCACACCTGTTTGGGCTCAGGAGGTCATCCCACACCAACCAGGGCCTCCCACAACCTGGCAGGCTGTAGCTTCGTGGCCACACTAGAGTTGAGGGAGGTGGCTGGATGGGAGGCACCAGCAGCCCCAGGTCCCCTGGGTAAGGGGGCTTGCAGAGCTTACCCCCCTGGGTGGGGCAGATCCCTGATCAGCCTTGGGCATACACTAGCCTTCCCTGGCCCAGGACTCAGCCAATTCCTCCTCCCAGTGACTGAAGATGGGATGGGGGGCCAGGAGCAGTGTCTCACGCCTGTAATCCCAACACTTTGGGAGGCCGAGGCGGGTGGATCACCTGAGGTCAGGAGTTTGAGACCAGCCTGGCCAATGTGGCAAAACCCCATCTCTACTAAAAATACCAAAAAAAAATTAGCCAGGCATGGTGGCAGACACCTGTAATCCCAGCTACTGGGGAGGGTGAGGCAGGAGAATCGCTTGAACCCAGGAGGTGGAGGTTGCAGTGAGCTGAGACTGCATCATTGCACTCCAGCCTGGGTGACAGAGCAAGACTCCATCTCAAAAAAAAAAAAAAATTAATAAAAATTTAAAAATAAATAAATAAAAGATGGGATGGAGAACAGCATGGCGGAGGGAAGGGCCACCAGGGACATGAGGTCACAACTGGGGCCAGGAACCAAGGAAGTATCACACGACACTCTACCGCTACAAAGTAACAAAGGAGTCCCCAAAGCCAAAAAGGGCTGAGGAGGGTAACAGAGTAGCAAAGGATCAGGCAACAAAGGAAGTGGGCCTGGCAAAGCGGGGAGCAGGAGGAATGAGGCAGCCAGAGAGGAACCGGAGGTCACAATTTCAGAGGAGGTGCAGAGTCAGAGGGGACAGTGAGTCCAGGGGCCTGGAGGAACAGGCAAGGAAGGGTGACCCAGCAGCTCTCAGGGCCAAACCCTCCCACGCCTCTTCTCCAGCCAGCCCCCGGAAGCTCTCAGCCCTGGTCCAAGGCTGACCTTGGCCCCTACGGGTGCTGTGCTGGAGGCAGAGGAAGGCGAAGGGAAGCGCCTGGGCAAAGGTGTTCAGGGGCCGCCAAGTGCTTGGTGTCTCAAAGAAAGGGCTAGGGAGGTGGGCAGGAGGCAGTAGGGTCGGCATGGAGAGGAGGGTGGACTTTATTTTGCTGCTTCTGTGGAGTGCAGATGGGGTGATGTGGGTTCCCAGGGTAGCAGCAGGAGGGAAGAAAGTCAAGTCAGGGGCAATCAGAGGCTTGGGGGATTCCCCACTCTCCACCCAACCCCCTTTCCCCACGCCTGCCAGCATGCTACCCAGGCATGAGTCCTATCCAGCAGAGAGAGAGGTCTCAGCTGTTCCCCTGGGCTGTCCGTGGGGGGTCCACCGGGGTGGGGGCGCCCCTGCACTCCTGTTTCTGCAGGACCTTTCCTCCAGGCCTTGAACCCCCATCCCTCCAGCAAGGTCCCAGCGATCTCAGGGAGCCCGAGCCTGGGCCTGGACAGAGGCTCTGGGATGTGGCCGTGGCCTGGAGCGCTGTCTGGGGGTGGGACCACTATTCCGACGCCCGGTAATGGTCCAGAGCTGCTCAGGCAGGCGCTGCTTTCTGATGGACATTAATGGTCCTGCAAGCATAACCAGACCGCGCCTAGGGCCTCTTCCCTCAGGCTGCACCGTGCCTCTCTTTAGATTCCGAAACTGGAGCAGGCGGGGCCAGCGCGACAGAAGGAGGTGACCAAAAGAGACCCAGAGAGGAGGAGAGGGGAGGTGGGGACTGCGACGACCGAAGAGGGAGGGAGGGGCAGGAAACCGCTGCCGCCGACGGGGCGGCCCCGCCCACCCGCTGTGGTCCCGCCCACTGCGGCCCGCCCATTGCTGGAGGCGCGGGGCGGAGGCTACCGCCCAGAACGGTAGCCGCGCAGCGCCACCTGGTCAGAACTGGTGGCACTGCATCGTCCGAGGAGCTGTCCACTCGATCCAGTCCTGTGGGGTGGGGACTGGGGTGAGGCTGGCGCCCTAGGGCTGGTTGCGCTGCAGGGGAATAAGGGTGTGGATCTGGGGAGGCAGAGAAGCCCCTCATCGGCTCTGCCTCCCCATCTTGGACCAGGCAAGCACCAGGGAACATTACTGAAACCTCCCCCCGCCCCCGCAAAAACTGGGCTTTGAGCACCTTGGCATTTGCAAGGGGAGGCCAGAGCTGAAGCAGCTCCAGGAAGAACATTTAACCCAGCCTTGGGCCCTGGAGTCCTCCTTCCGGGAGGGAGGTCCCGGGCTGTCCTGGAATCTGCAGTCTGGAGCAGGCGGGTGGGAAAAGGGAGGAGGCAGTGGGAGGGGCAGTGAGAGCAGACACGGCATGGGTATCATCCCATAGGCAGTGGGGAGCCCTTGAGGCGTGGTGTGGGGGTGACAAGGTCAGGACATCCATGTTCTTAGAGGTCAGGTTCAGTGAGGAACAGCGGCAGGACTGGGAAGGAATGAGTTCGCAGGGAGAATGAGTTGTCCTGTGAGGTGTGTGACCACCTCTTCACCCAGCACAGAGCCGGAGGGAGGGCTAGATGGAACGAAGGGCTCCATGTAAGAATTGGCTGGTGAGGCCGGGCGCGGTGGCTCAAGCCTGTAATCCCAGCACTTTGGGAGGCCGAGATGGGCGGATCACGAGGTCAGGAGATCGAGACCATCCTGGCTAACACGGTGAAACCCCATCTCTACTAAAAATACAAAAAAATTAGCCGGGCGTGGTGGCAGGCGCCTGTAGTCCCAGCTACTCGGGAGGCTGAGGCAGGAGAATGGCGTGAACCCAGGAGGCGGAGCTTGCAGTGAGCCGAGATAGTGCCACTGCACTCCAGCCTGGGTGACAGAGCAAGACTTCGCCTCAAAAAAAAAAAAAAAAGAATTGGCTGGTGAGGCTCACGCCTGTAATTCCAGCACTTTGGGGGACCGAGGCGGGAGGATCACCTGAGATCGGGAGTTCGAGGCCAACTTGACCAACATGAAGAAATACTGCCTCTACTGAAAATACAAAATTAGGCGGGCGTGGAGGCGCATGCCTGTAATCCCAGCTACAGGCTGAGGCAGGAGAATGACTTGAACCCAGGAGGCAGAGGTTGCAGCAAGCCAAGATCGCACCATTGCACTCCAGCCTGGGCAGCAAGAGGGAAACTCTGTCTCAAAAAAAAAAACAAAAATTACGAAAAACAAAAAACAAAACAATTGGCTGGTGGGCCAGGTGCCCTGGTTCATGCCTGTCATCTCAGCACTTTAGGAGGACAAGGTGGGCGGATTCCCTGAGGTCAGGAGTTCAAGACCAGCCTGGCCAACATGGCGAAATTCCATCTCTATTTTAAAAAATACAAAAATTTGGCCGGGCGCGGTGGCTCACGCCTGTAATCCCAGCACTTTGGGAGGCCGAGATGGGTGGATCACGAGGTCAGGAGATCGAGACCATCCTGGCTAACACGGTGAAACCCCATCTCTACTAAAAATACAAAAATTAGCCAGGCGCGGTGGCGGGCGTCTGTAGTCCCAGCCACACGGGAGGCTGAGGCAGGAGAATGGCGTGAACCCGGGAGGCGGAGCTTGCAGTGAGTGGAGATTGCGCCACCGCACTCCAGCCTGGGCGACAGAGCGAGACTCCGTCTCAAAAAAAAAAAAAAAAAAAAAATACAAAAATTAGCTGGGCTTGGTAGTAGGCACCTGCAATCCCAGCTACTGGGGAGGCTGAGAATCATCTGAGCCGGGGAGGCAGAGAGGTGGAGGTTGCAGTGAGCCGAGATAGTGCCTCTTCAGCATGGGCTGGAGACTCTGTCTCGGAAAAAAAAAGAAAAAGAATTGAAGGAGTGGAGATAAAAAGAGCACCTACATTTGGGAGAAGGACACACCTTGGAGATGGAAAAGACCTACCAGCGAGGGGAGGTGGGGCTTCCAGGAGCAGGGGTGGGGGGCTGGTTCCACAGGGGCATCCTAAAGCCAGGCCCAGGACCACCCCTCCCCCAATCCTTCCTGGGTGGCCCCAAGGGGGGACCCTGCCACATGGCTACGGGAGGGTTCCAAGGGTGGGCTGCATCAGGGCATGTGACCTTGGTGGTTTGGGGTCCAGGACAGTTGTTGCAGTCCCAGGGCAGATTAGAGAGGGTTGAAAAGGGAGAGTGAGGGAGGAGGGGCCCAGACCCTTGGGAAGGGAACTGGAGGGGGCCTGGTGGACGGAGGTCCTCGGTATTCAAGATGGCAGGGCACATGTATGTGGGGGGGCTGGAGCCAGTGACCAGAAGGGCATGCAGAGAGGGATAAAAGGTAGAGGAGCAGCTGGGCACGGTGGCTCATGCCCATAATCCCAGCAATTTGGGAGGCCAAGGTGGGCGGATCACCTGAGGTCAGGAGTTCAAGACCAGTCCAGCCAACATGGTGAAACCCCGTCTCTACAAAAATACAAAACTTAGCTGGGCATCATGGTGGGTGCCTGTAGTCCCAGGTACTCAGGAGGCTGAGGCGGGAGAATCACTTGAACCCGTGGAGGTGGAGGTTGCAGTAAGCCAAAATCGCGCCACTGCACTCCAGCCTGGGCGACAAAGGGAGACTCCGTCTCAAAAAAAAAAAAAAAAGAAAAGAAAAAAGCAAGAAGCAAGGTGGGGCTCAGGTGGAGGGGCCCCTCCTCCAGGGGCATGACCCAGAAGAAGGGGACCAGGGGTTCTTAATCCTCTGCGGAAGACTTTGGCTAAGGGAGAAAGGGGGTGCCAGGAGATCCAGGTTTGAAATGAATGCTGAGTGCCCGGCGCTTCCCCTGGTCGGCGAGGGAGGGGCCCGTGACATTTGCCAGGGCGTGGGCGCGCCTGTCTGCGCCCTGAGCTAGACGGCAAAGTACACAGGCAGACGAAGGGGTCGCTCGCGGGGGCGCAGGAGTCAGGCGGATTTTATTGACCGGACGGCAGGCCGGGGCAGTGAGCGGCTCCTGGAAGCTGCGGCGACTCCTCCTGGGTCAGACGCGGAGGCGCCGCAGGCGGGGGAACGCTGTCAGGACGGTCTGGGGACCAGGCGGGGCCGGCCAAGGCGGTTTGCTGCGGGGACCACGGCGGGGCGGGAGACGTCTCTCGGAAGTCGCTAGCGAGAGCAGAGCAAGGCCGTGGGGAGGAGGCTGTGGCCCTCCACCGCCACCCCCGGGTGCCAGGGTCGAGCCTGCCCAGGGAAAACTTTTCTGGGCGCGGAGCGGGGGATGGAAGGGCCCGAGGGTGCCCCCTGAACACGCGGCTCCGTGCTGCGGCTCAGACCTCCTGAGACCCCTTTGCCCGCGGCGGTCCAGGCCTCCTCCCCTCTCACGTACCTGGCCGGCTCCGCTGAAGTCCAGGGACACCGGTTTGAGCGCAGGCTCCGGGGCGCGCGGGCTCCGGGGCGCACGGACAGGGATCCCTGCCTCGGAGCTCCTGCGTCGCGTCTCCCACAGCTCCTGAACCCACGAGGGCAGCAGGAGAGGAGCCTCGCGGGCGGCGGGTCCGGGGGAGAGGTTGTCCCCGGTCAGGGGGCCGGCGGCCGCGCGCAGCGCGCGGCGCCACATATAGGGTGAGCGGCGCAGCCCCATGAGCAGGCCAGCGGCGCGGCCCACCGTGTGGTAGCGGGGACTCGCCACTTGCTTGTACCACGCTCCGGCGGGCAGCGGCAACAGGAACAGGAGCAGCGACAGTGCCAGCCGCGGCCGGCTCGCGGGAGCCCCCCGCTTCCCAGGGCCCCGCGCCAGGGTGCTCGCGTCGACGGCCGCCCGGCGGGGCGGGCGACGAACCGGCTCAGCTGGGTTTGGGCGCGCAGTGGAGTCGGGACGCCAGGTACCAAAGCGCAGGAGGCTGGAGGCAAGCCGTGGGTCCCCTTGCGAGCCCAGCTATAACCGTTCGTGGCCCCGCCTTGTTCCGCCCCCGCAGTACTGCTGGGCTTCCCAGATGGGAGGAGGGACGGAGGAAGGAGAGGGAACCCTGGCAGCTGGCGGGGGACGTGGGTACCTGAGCATCTCACTGAGTGGGCCGCTGGCTGGAACTGTGCTCCTCTGGGGGAACACGTTCCATTCTCTCCCTGCTCAGCCTCCTCCCCCCAGGAGTGGAAGTGCCAGGGAGAGGGTACTGGGAACACTGATGAGGGAGTAGGGCTGAGGGATGCCCCTTTAGGCAGACTCCTGCAGGTGGGACAACAACAGAGCGAAGGCCCAGGTACAGGCAGAGCTACAGTGGCTATCGCAGGAGGGCTGTCAGGGGCTTTCAGCACCATTGAAGACCCCCCTGGGTGACTCCCCACAAGAGTTGTCCCTTGTCCTTGCCTAGCATGGCTCCCAAAGCTGTCCCCACACTCTGTCCTGTCCACTGCCACCCCCAGCTTCTCCCCACCAACCTGTCTCCCCACAGAGCTAGACAGAGGCTTAGAAGCCTCACATTGGCCACACCAAGCCATCCTTGGGGTCTGTGGTTCTGCGAGGCCTCCAGGAGAAAGAGTCAGCCCCTCCTTGAACCTGTAGCCCTGGAGGGGCAGGACAAGGCCTTGCAGACCTCCAGTGTCTCCTCTCTGGTGATGGTCCCCTAAGATCACTTTATCCAGCGAGTCTCAATTTTTGTCTAAACCAACAGCCTGTGACTTTGCCTGCCTCTGTGCGTCTGTGCCTACAGCATCATTCCCTCCTTCTCAGCCTGGCTAACACCTACTCATCCTTCAGGACTCCACTTAAATGGCCCAGGTCCTTGGCTGGGTGCGGTAGCTCACGCCTGTATTCCCAGCAATTTGGGAAGCCGAGGTGGGCGGATCACCTGAGGTCAGGAATTCAAGACCAGCCTTGCCAACATGGTGAAACCCCATCTCTACGAAAAATTAAAAAAATTAGCTGGGTGTGGCGGCAGGCACCTGTAATCCCAGCTACTTGAGAGGCTAAGGCAGGAGAATTGCTTGAACCCAGGAGGCGGAGGTTGCAGTGAGCCGAGATTGCACCATAGAACTCCAGTCTGGGAAACCAGACGAAACTCTATCAAAAAAAAAAAAAAAGAAAAAAAGGCACAGGGCCAAACAATCCCTCAGAATATACTTCTGTGCCCACCTGGGCTTAACAGCCCCCTCCCAGAGGGCAGAGCCTGACACACTCTTTCCTGACCTCCCAGGAAGGGTGAATCCAGCCCTCCCCCAGCAATCATGCCAGTCATGGGGCAGCCCCGGGTCCCAGACATCAGGGATCTCGTTTTGGGTCATGATAAACTATCTCATCTTGACCTCCAGACAATGCCATGAGTGAAATTATTATTGACTCCACTCACTAACTAGCGAACTGAGGCCCAGGGAGAACTGACCTGCCCCAGATCATGTTGGGTAAATGGTGGAGGTTAGATATATCCTAGCCCCTGAGCCCAAGAGCCTCAGCTTGGGGGAACAGGGTACCCCCATCCAGAGAGGCACAGAAGGGCTGGGGGCAGGCTGGGCACGTTAGCTCATGCTTGTAATCCCAGCACTTTGGGAGACCAAGGCAGGTGGATTGCTTGAGGCCAGGAGTTCAAGGCCAGCCGGTCCAACATGGCTGGTCTAATGGAGATGGAGAAACCCCATCTCCATTAAAAATACAAAACTTGCCGGGTGCAGTGGCTCATGCCTGTAATCCCAGCACTTTGGGAGGCTGAGGGAGGAGAATCACTTGAACTCGGGAGGCAGAGGTTGCAGTGAGCCAAGATGGGACCACTATACTCCAGCCTGGGCAACAGAGCAAGACTCCATCTCAAAAAACAAACAAACAAAACAGAAGGTCTGGGACAGAGCCCGACTCCCGCTCCTGAGGCGTGAGGGTCCCCAGTGGATCTGGTGAGTCCGAGGAGGTTTGAAAGCAGCAGCCCTCCCCACAAAGGCCACACTGAAGTGGTGAGACACCAGCCCTGCTTCACAGTCGCAGCTGAGGGGAAGAGGATAGGGGCCTCGGCCTCTCCTGCCTCAGTTTCCTCATCTGTAAACTGGGGGTGAAAACAGTGGCCACTTCATCATCTCCTCGGCATTGGTAATCCAGTGGTGGGTCTGGGAGCTGAACCGTGCCTGGTACCCAGTAGGCACTCAATAAGCGCTGTGGCTAGGATCTATCCTTGCTGCGCCAGAGGCTGACCACCCCCAGCCTGTCAGGAAAACACCGTGACAGGGACAGAATGGGGGATGCAGATGGAGCTGTCTGTGCCGACTGGAGGACCCCCGGGACCAGAGGCTCTGCAAAAAGCTGTCCCCGCCGCACTCCCCTGGGGCCCCTTGTCCTTGAGAGCTGCCTGGAGTGTGTGGTGGGCGGGTAGTGCAGCACGACATGGGCCAGAGCCAGGCCCCATCAGGGTCCCTTGGCGCTGCCACCCACTCCTGGCTAAGAGGACGTGGGCGTCTCTGGACCCCTGGGGGGACTTCAGCCAGTCTGGGGAGGGTCCAGGATGCCCCCTGGAGGTGGCCCAGGGAGCTTCTGCAGGGGGAAACTGCAGAAATTGATCAATGAAGGTCTGTGCTGGGATGGAAGTCCCTGTGACAGAAAATAGAAGTAGAGGCTGGGCACGGTGGCTCACGTCTGTAATCCCAGCACTTTGAGAGGCTGAGGCGGGTGGATCACCTGAGATCAGGAGTTCGAGACCAGCCTGACCAACATGGAGAAACCCCGTCTCTATTAAAAACAAAATTAGTCGGGCATAGTGGCACATGCCTGTAATCCCAGCTACTAGGGAGGCTGAGGCAGGAGAATTGCTTGAACCTGGGAGGCAGGGGTTGCTGTGAGCCGAGATCGCACCACTGCACTCCAGCCTGGGCAACAAGAGTGAAACTCCTTCTCAAGAAAAAAAGAAAAGTAAAGAAAAAGAAAACAGAAGTAGAAGTAGAGCTGTAACAGCATAGTAAATCTCAAAACTGCAATGGTGTACAATGAAAAAAACTCCTTGCAGCACAGTAGGTTCCACGTGCTGCCATTTTCTGAGCTTCAATGCCAGGAGTGGGAGCTGCAGTGCCTCACACCTATAATCGCAGCACTTTGGGAGGCCAAGGCGGGCAGATCACCTGAGGTCAGGAGTTCAAGACCAGCCTGGCCAACATGATGAAACCCCATCTCTACTAAAAATACAAAAATTAGCTGGGCATGGTGGCCGGCGCCTGTAGTCTCAGCTACTCTAGAGGCTGAGATAGGAGAATCGCTTGAACCCAGGAGGCAGAGGCCGCAGTGAGCAGAGATGGAGCCATTGCACCTCAGCCTGGGCAACAGAGGAAGGCTCCTTCTCAAAAATGAACAAAACAAAAAAAACCAAACCGGCTGGGCGTGGTGGCTCACACTTGTAATCCCAGCACTTTGGGAGGCCAAGGCAGGTGGATCCTGAGGTCAGGAGTTTGAGACCAGCCTGGCTAACACAGTGAAACCCTGTTTTACTAAAAATAGAAAAATTAGCCAGGTGTGGTGGCAGGCGCCATAGTCCCAGCTACTTAGGAGGCTGAGGCGGGAGAATCACGTGAACCCAGGAGGCAGAAGTTGCAGCGAGCCAAAATTGCACCACTGCACTCCAACCTGGGCGACAGAGCTAGACTGTCTCAAAAAACAAAACAAAAACAAAACAAACAAAAGTAAGTAGTGGCTCCTCTGCCTTGTTTATTGCTGTGGCCCACGGGAGTGAGAGTCGCCGGACGCAGGGAAAGGCCACTGGGAACAGAGGCACGGGGAGGTGTCTGTTGGGTGGGGTATGCAGAACACACGGCGGGGGAGCCCAGGGCTGGGTTAGAGGAGCAAAACATAGAACCTTAAAGGTGCCTGTGGGCTCCCTTTCCAGGCGGCAGGAGGAGGTCCTCTGCGTCCTGCCCATCCTGGTGCCCAGGGGAGGGGGCCTGGTGACGAAGGCTTCCTTCTCTCCGCCTCCAGAGATCTAAAGCCACAGCTCTCCTTGGGGAGGAGGTGATGAGAGCCGGCCCTGCTTCCTGAGACTCACCTCTCAGTTCCTTGATACCAGTGTCCTGCCTGGAAATCCATAAGACGCTTAAGGCCCGGACCATGCCTGCCGCAGGCACAAAGCCTGGCCCCGAAAAGGAAAGCCCTGGTAAGGAGGAGATTAATGAGCAAATCTGTTTTGTTATCTTTAAAATTATTGGCCAGGGCGTGGCATGGTGGCTCACGCCTGCAATCCCAACACTTTGGGAGGTCAAGGCGGAGTTAAGAGACCGGTCTGGGCAATATGGTGAAACCCCATCTCTACCAGAACAAACGACGACAAGATAGATATATTAGCTGGGTGTGGTGGTGCACGCCTGAAGTCCGAGGCAGAAAGATCCCTTGAGGCCTGGAGTTTGTAAGACTGCAGTGAGTTGGCCGGGCGCGGTGGCTCAAGCCTGTAATCCCAGCACTTTGGGAGGCCGAGACGGGCGGATCACGAGGTCAGGAGATCGAGACCATCCTGGCTAACACAGTGAAACCCCGTCTCTACTAAAAAAATATAAAAAACTAGCCAGGCGAGGTGGCGGGCGCCTGTAGTCCCAGCTACTCGGGAGGCTGAGGCAGGAGAATGGCATAAACCCAAGAGGCAGAGCTTGCAGTGAGCTGAGATCCAGCCACTGCACTCCAGCCTGGGCGACACAGCGAGACTCCATCTCAAAAAAAAAAAAAAAAGACTGCAGTGAGTCGTGATAGCACCACTGCACTCCAGCCTGGGCGACAGACCCTGTCTCAAAAAGTAAATACATAGCTCAGGCTCAGTGGCTCATGCCTATAATCCCAACAGTTTGTGAGGCTGAGGTGGGCGGATCACTTAAAGTCAGGAGTTCAAGACCAGCCTGGTCAATATGGTGAAACTCCATCTTTACTAAAAATACAGAAAAATTAGCTGGCTGTTGTGGCGCACGCCTGTAATCCCAGCTACTCGTGAGGCTGAGGCACAAGAATTGCTTGAACGTAGAAGGCGTAGGTTTCAGTGAGCCGAGATCGCGCCACTGCATTCCAGCGGCAGAGCGAGACTCAATCTCAGAAATAAATAAATAAATAAATACATTAAATAATTGGCCAGGCCCAGTGGCTCACTCCTGTAATCCCAGCACTTTGGGAGGCCGAGGTGGGCAGATCACGAGGTCAGGAGATCGAGACCATCCTGGCTGGCACGGTGAAACCCATTTCTGCTAAAAATGCAAAAAAAAATTAGCCCGGGCGTAGTGGCAGGCGCCTGTAGTCCCAGCTACTTGGGAGGCTGAGGCAGGAGAATGGCGTGAACCTGGGAGGCGGAGCTTGCAGTGAGCCGAGATCATGCCACTGCACTCCAGCCTGGGCGACAGAGTGAGACTCCGTCTCAAAAAAAAAGAAAAAGAAAATAATTATAATAATAATTAGGGCTGGGCCCGGTGGCTCGTGCCTATAATCCCAGCACTTTGGGAGGCTGAGCCAGGCGGATCACAAGGTTAAGAATTCAAGACCAGCCTGGCCAACATGGTGAAACCCCATCTCTACTAAAAATACGAAAATTACCTAGCCATGGTGGTGCGTGCCTGTAATGCCAACTACTTGGGAGGCTGAGGCAGAAGAATCACTTGAACCTGGGAGGCAGAGGTTGCAGTGAGCCGAGATGGTGCCACTACACTCTAGCCTGGGCCACAGAGCAAGACTCCGTCTCAAAACAATAAACAATAAAAAATAAATAAATAAAATAAGGCCAGACACAGTGGCTCACGCCTGTAATCCCAGCACTTTGGGAGGCTGAGGTGGGCGGATCACGAGGTCGGGAGATCGAGACCATCCTGGCCAACACGGTGAAACCCCGTCTCTACTAAAAATACAAAAAAATTAGCTGGGTGTGGTGGTGGATGC